AATGATATGTTGGCTGGTTTTCATTTGCAAAAATAAAATGGGAGCATTGATTTCTAAACACTGCAAACAAGATACGTGGTCTGGTAGTTTCACCGTCGATACGCTTTTATTAGAAGGCGACTCATCCACCGGGAAAGGAAATTCACCTTCTTTATTAGAAGTGTTAAGGTATTCAAGAAAGTATGAAGTAGTAGTAGTAGTAGTATCCTACTTCTTGCGGTACGGGTCGTATCAGTCTTTCAATTTTATGCTATGCAACGATTCTGAGTCAGTCATGCCGTTTAATAGTATTGTAATTAATAAAGATACGATGATTGGTCCAGTTGTAGGATCAACAGAAGCTTTCAGTGCATGAATAGAAGTACACTGTTCAAAATGACTATTCGCTAAGCCTTAAATCGATCAAAATCTTCAAACAAGAGGCTCAATACCTCAATTCAAAATTCACATATCTCGATGTAATAGTGTCAATTCCTACTTGGCAAAACACATAACTCGGTTTTTCCTCCGTATTTCATCACGGTTGCGACTATTTTCAAAAATGCTCAAGGCGTGGTGAAAAGCATCTTATCATCTCTATCTCCAAGAATTATTACCTTTTAATTATCAAAAATAAGGAACGCAGACAGTTTTTTTGCTCTCCTGAAAAATCGAGTTTTCCGAGATACGTGGTATGGTAGTTTCACCATCGATATGTTTTTATCTGCTCTTAGAGTCTGTTCTCTTTCATGACTTGATTCATGAATGAAATGTTTTTAAGAATGAAGGAACTCTTTACCTCTCTTAATTTAAAAATCTAAATTTCCGTATATACTCCCATTTTCAAAATTCTCTTTGTAAACGTTAACTGCATGTGACATTGAACGTCTTAAAATATACTAACTAACTAACTAACTAGTAGTAGTATGCATTTATTTTTGAGGTGGTTCCTGTCATTTAAATGAGAAGAAAAAAATGTGGACATAAAATGTCCACAATTTGGACAATTTTGGACATATTCATGGTTGGACATTAAATCATGTGGACTTAATCAAGACTGGACTTAACGTTTAGTTGACGTAATTAGCGGTGGACATTTATTTCATGGACGAAAGGTAGGTGGACATAAAGTCCTGGAAGCGATCGATGTCCAAAGTGCGAAACCACGTATCTCCATTCCGGTGTCTCAAAATTTCCGTTCCAATTTTGCTTGTTTGAGGAGAAAGAAAGTCAACTTTACGGCTTAAAATTTAACAGAATTTTCTGCTGGTAGAGAAGAAAAATCAAAGATTTTTTCAAGAATACCGTTGACCAGTTTTCCAGAGGGTGCCAGGTCATTTGTCCCAAAATGTTCTTTCGTACCCTAAGGTTACCTAATACTTTTTTCCGACTTGGTTTTTGTCCCATTACTTTAAGTCTTAAGAGTGAGATGTCCTACTAGTTTTTTCTCCAAAGGTATTTTTCCTAATTATTGTAATTGATATATAATTAACATGAGTGGAGCAGACTGCATATGGAGAAGTTCACGACCTAACCTCGCACACTTACGTTGTTTTTCAGGAGACACTACCACTTTTTTATCCTATATTTTTTAGATTTACCTATAGTTTAATTGGAGTTAAGACGAATACCCATCTTCTAAATTCTTCGTAAAGACGTTAATAGCCTAAAATGCTGAATGTATTTAAATAAATTAACTAACTAACTAACTATCCTTAGGAAATAAACAGCAGGATAAAGTACTCGCAGGATGAACTGTAATGGTACCAAAAACGAATAAGAAAGAGGTATTAGAAAAACTTGTAGTAGGAAAATCATTTTTAGGAAAACTGACTTATCACTTCCCTAAGAAATGATGAAGTACGACAGTAAGTTTGCGGCATCGCAAATGGACATACATACATAGTATCGTATAACCACCGATATTTGTGATCTATTGGGACGTCGTGCAATTTTTAGCGATAATACTCTATGCTTTCCAGGGTTAATGTCAAAATGGCATTGCGCACTAAAATAAAAATAGTGTATTTTATTCGGAAAATAACACTATAACGGTGATTATTTTAGAAAAAATCGAGCTGGCGGCGCATTTTATCCGGAAGGGGAAAGATCTATGTTGCTGACAGACAGGAGAGGATATAATTATGAAGACTTCTCGATGAAGATATAAATATGTCAATTCTCAACACTGCATATTTGCTGAAAGAAAAACTAACGGGAATAGCATTTTTTATAATTTTTTTCTCATTCTATTCAGAATACTTTGTTAAGTATCGAAAAAGGAGGCATTTACTCGATTTTCTTTGAAAAAAAGAATGAAACAACAGAAACTTAGGCACATCATCATCGAGGTGTGTTCAACTTTTTAATGTTTGATACGAATAAACGTGAACTTATTACTCCAAGCAACTATTAGCGCTCCGAGGCCGCTCAAATTGCCTACTTCAGTATTGAAGGCGAACTGGTCACATGAGCGCGCGACGATTCACTGTTGATGGTAGTCCATTAATACAGTGTTTAAAGCAAATTTAAGTGATTACATTGATGGTTACATTACTACGCGTACGAGATTTTCGTGTCTTTCTAATTGCTCCAGATAATACATTACCATAGGTGCAGTTTGCATGTTAACTTGGATCAAAAAAGCATCACTCATACGACAATTTCTAAGCATAAGAATGACGTTTCACTGGCGATTTTTTTCTTTTTTTCTTTCTCTAGTGCCGGTTTTGAAAGTCATCCATTTTAGTTACTTAAGTGGTAGAAAATTTCCCGGTTGGCATTAAAAAAGTCATTCGGTTAAGGCACCTTAGCGGAAGAAAGTTCTTGTTCGAAACTTATTTCATCCACCATTTCCTCCTGTAAGTAGGATGCGATGACCAGAAAGGGGCTTTTACTTCAAGATGTTATAATCGAGGTTTATAGATTTATCTTCGGAAGGTTTTAGATGAATATGCGAGTTTTCGAATAGAGTCCCAAAATTGACCAAGTTTAAGCGTTTTGGAAATTTCTTTCGCGAGTTTAAAATAAGTAAAATCTTTCATTGATAGATTTCTTTCATGATAGTGAGTAGTTCTCAGCTGAATTTCAAGGCTCAACCTCGTTTAAAGGGCGCTTTCATATACGTTACTTTTCATAGGACAGAAGAGAGAATCATAAGAATATCGGTCCGAAATCACACGTTTAACATATCTGAACACATTTTAGAAGAAATCGTCTATTTTTATCGCAATATGAGTACTTTAAAATCAAATATCCTTTTGAAGCTGGTAAAAAGCCAACTTCAAAACTTAAGTTTAATGCCCTAATAAATACAATAAGACGAGAGTACAAAAGCATGCAGCGGTATTTAAACTTTGACGTCCTCCCACTTTGCTGATCGATACAGTTCGTTAATTTAATTAAATACTTAACCTATTCATTGACACAGTGGACTCGAGGCGCAAGTAAGAAGTCAGATTTGTTGAATCATAAAACACAACAAACAATCACATTCGACAATCACAAGCACTTTGAAAAAAATGCATTCAAATCTCGCTTTTGTTTTAAAATTTAGAGGAAATGCAAGCTGACTTTAATAGAATCAAGCACGAGTCCGTGAGTAAAGAGATGTCCAGAATCTCAAGAGTTTTGGAAAATATGTGACAACGCAAAACTAAACGTTAAAAAATTAACATTTTGCGTGTCCACACTACTGACGTCAAATTGTGCACGAAACAGAAACGACGCCTTTGGCTTTAAAACGTTCACCCTACATTTTTTCAGTAAACACTTTATTTACGTTTGAAAATGTTCAGGAGCATCGCATAGAAGACAGAAACACGATACCTAACAACACAAGAACACCCCCCCCCCCCNATTAAAATTGTGAAACCGCAAACTGCAGTTTTCCAGTGTAATCTCACTCATGAAGACTTCGGTTTTTTATGTGAGCGAACACTTGAAATTTTCGTGACCAATATTAATCAAAAACGCTGTCTAAAAAGGTCGATGTCTCACTTGGATGTTGTTTAATGCAATTTTCAATGGTTGAACCGTGTCCCAAGATAAATTTTGAAAAAGAAAAACTCAACATAATGCATTGAGTCAGATTCTGTCGGGTGGTTAATTGCTTTTCTAGACCTCTGTGAACTTTACCTTTTCGGACTTGTTAGGTTTCAACATCAATTGTTCCACTTGCTACTTAATTTACATCTTAGGCCCTGACTTTGACATACCCAGATGGAAAAGTTACATGCAGAAGCTTGACTCATAACAGCACAGAAATGAGGCAGTGGCGTGGCGTACTTTGCGATATAACGATTGTTATGCCATTTAAACCTATGGAAAAGGATCGATAAATAGGGTGTTCGCAGAGAACACCTTAATAATCGATTCTTTACCATAGGTTTAAATGGCATAACAATCGATATATCGCAATTCACGCCACGCCTCTGAAATGAGGGGCTTGGAGGACAAAGCGCATAAGTGCAGTATTTGCTATTTTAAGAAATACGTAATTGAAGTTTCGAAATTCCATGGATCTTCATGGCGGAAAGAAATTTTAAACTGACTTTTCGATGCTTAAAAATCGGAATTTGGAATTGAATCTTTCACAGAATATGCACTAAGACTAGTTTTACTTGAAATCATTAATATCTCAATTTTCTTTAAAAACTGCACTTATGAGCCTTGTCCTCCAATCCCGTCAAATGTTCTCGCGATTTTATTTTCGTTTATTAATTTTTTAAAACACGGTCAGATTGGCGAATTTAGAACGGACGAATCGAAATGGAGGACACTGACTATCATCCGGATTTGCACAAAATTTTTGGATTTTTAAACGAGCAGATCACAGTTACAGTATTGGAACCATTTTAGAGCGGTTTTTTCCCCCGGGAAGGTACTTCATTGAAATAAGCACAATTTGTGATAGGGGTAACAGCAGCACCCCTAACCGAAACATAGAAGAATGACCGTTAATTTGTTACAAGTTAGTCTTTTTTGGTATTTCTGAAAAGTATCAGGAACGCAGGACTTACAATTTTGCGGCAAGCTCCGAAAGATAGATCCTAAGGAACGCACAGATTATCACCAAACATCCATGTCAGAGTGCTTTAGACTAAAATCAAATTCGCCACGCGCGGTGCAGCGAATCTGATTGCTGCGATTGATCGAATGAGGCGAAGACTTTAACTGGCTGAAGCTCATTCTCGCACGAGATAATCACCTGCATGAATGGACCAAGGACCGTAGGTCAGCGATGCCAAATTTCATCAGATGCAATAGCGTGTGCATCACTTACTTACAATTATTTGGAGAAATGTGTATGACCCTACGTATATGAGCAGTTTACAAAGATCCGTACACAAGGAGAGTAGGGAGAGGGGAGGGATCATCTCATAGCAGCTGATCAGATCGTCAACTCCGGTTCTTGTTTACAATTTTCATTTGGATTTTAAGGTGATTCGTCCAGCTCAAGTGACGTGGTCGAGCTTGCGTGCGATACATCGTATCGATCAGGTCAAAAATCTCAGCAGCTTTAAAATTTTTAGTAAAAAAAAGGACGATAGTCCCTGCGTATAAGCCTAAAGAATTATTCTGAACCAAAAAATCGGCAAAATTCATAAAATGAAAGCAGAATAGTGTTTGGAAAAAAGCCTCGCATTTGATTCAACTATCGATTTCTGTATCGAATGCGAGATTTCTTTCCAAAGACTATTCTGCTTTCATTTCCCTGAATTTTGCCGATTTTTGGGATTAGAATGATACTTTAGGCTTATGCGCAGGGGCTATCGTCCTTCTTTTTTTTTTACTAAAAATTCAAAATCTGCCGAGATTTTCGACCGAATCGATGCGATATGTCGCATACCAGTTTGACCACGTCACTTGGTGGGCTTGACGAATCACTTTAATTCAAGTAAATATAATAACAGAAGGGTACCTTATTATTGAAGTCGGAAAATAAGGTACCTGCCAGTAATTTAAATACAGTATTATTTGATTAAATATTTGTGTTTGGCCACTACAGTCCAACTAAAAATTTTGTTAGCTGTCTGGGCACATAATAATCAATGATTCCACTTGAATTAAAATTCTGAATATTTTTCTGATTTTTTACAAGATAATGTGTGGGCAAGACTTTTACACAAAATTTTAAGTAGGTACTTAATTTCCACCAAAAAAATCCATTTTTTTCCCTCGGCATCGGAAGGATTAAGTTATTTTGATTCGGATAAAGTTCCTTTTTTTGCGTTAGAGAAAATTTCAGATGAATTCAATGTTAAAAGAAATTAGACATTTTTCTTGTCTTTGTGTGATATCTAGTATCATCGAGTATCAGTCTATATCTAGTATCAGTTTTCTACATAAATTTCGTAGATCACAATAATTATTGCCTCTCTGAGACACTAAAATGTGTATCAGCGTGACGCAGCGATGAATCTCGTTCCTGGATCATTTGAAGTCATTCACCTTCAAATTATATAAATAAGTAAAAAAAACCCAAAATTTCGCGTTTATTAGCAACGCCACAGTTATACGAATTATGTCTGACGAGTGAGGAGCGATGTGAGATAAACAGATCTAAGGCCAGTCGAATGGGGATGGCAAGTGTTGATACACTGTAAGCCGTGGCACAGCCAAGGGGGTGTCCACGGGGGTTAGAGGCCAGTAGGTCTACGATTATTTAGTCTACTGTTTGCACTATTACTGCAAAAAGTCTACTGACTATCCAGGGGATGTGAACACCCCTCCCCCATGACTGGACATGTTTCCCAATCAAAGTTATTTTTGTGAATTTTAGGAATTTAATACCTTGAAACCCCCACCCCCNCCCCCCCGCCCTTCATAAATAATTTCTAGTCCCGAAAGGCCACCCAACATCGTACATGCAAACGAATGAAGCTAGTAAATTGCGAGTTATACAAGTTTAAGATTCATCCTATTACTATGTATGGTTTGAGGCGCCAAAGCAGCAGGCAGGAGTATCTCATGCCAACGAAACCTTACCCGAAGTAAGATTCGAACCTTGCGTTAACCTTAATCCTAGTTAGAGAACGCGCGTAACTTGACATTAGAGGTCTTGGTTAGTGGGTCATTGGAGCTCTTAACACACACGAAATGGATGTTTCGCGGTGAACTTAGCATAGATAAACACATCAATCGAATAGCTGTTGGCTGAATAATGACAAAGTTTTACGTAGTCGATGTGGTGCTGCAGTTTGTAAGGCGTCAGTGAGTGAAATTGAAGGATAAAAAGACAAGATGCAAATGAAGCCGTCTTTAGAAAAAGTGTCCAAAAAATTATTTCAGCCGTTCTTGCATGAGAGAGCGAATATGCGTCAAATAAATTTTGCAACGTCGCAGTGCAACTAAGCCTCTATAGCTCCAACACCGAAAAAAATAATATCAATAACGGAATGCGAAAACAAATTGAAATGTCTAAAAATCTCCGAGAGTACTTCTTTTTCTTCAAAGAAAAATAATCAAAATTTTCCCGTGCAATTTTTTAGAATGAATGAAGAAAATTCACACAAAAATTCAATTGAATTCAGTCCGTCAGTTTTCCTTCAAGAAAAAATATACACGAATAGAAACTTACATCGTCACAATTAGGGTTATGCATTCTCCGATTTAAGCTGTCGATTTGCTTTTTTTTAAAATCTGGGATGTCAGAAATGGGCCCAGTGAACCGTAGATGCTGACTTCACTGCTCCGCAGTTAAGTTTGCGTTCTCAGGATGTATAAAGTTAACTGAGGGGGCTTTGAATATATCTTTTCCGGGACTATTAGACTCATTTTTTATATGCAGGATACTATCTTAGCATACCTATTTATTTCAATGCACCATTTTAATCAGTTGTGATAGCCACGATGCGGTTCATACCCGCAACCATGGGCGGAAATAGGGGGGCCAGGCGACCGGGGGCGGGCTACCCCCATCCCCCCTATACCCTCTACTCGATTTCGACAAAAAAGCTTGAGAGTTTATCGAAGTAAGTGCGTGCCATACATATTATCTTTAAAATTGTAATCAGATTAACTTTAAGGTGAAAACAGCTCAAAATAGCTCCTAGGATGATTTAATTTTTCAAAAATTTTCTAGGGAGGCATCCTAGAGCTTTGATACTACAAAATCCCCCAAACCCTTTAAATAGAGCTAGGAAAGTTTCATAGGCACAGGTCCTCCTAAATGGGGTGTCTCTTTGGGCATCACCCCCTCCATCAGACCCCCTTTGATAAGGTGCCTCTCTGGCCCCCACGAAAAGTTCCCATATTCGCACTACTCTCGTGTGAAGACTGACAGCATGCATAGCGACGGCGTAAGTCCGCAATCACATGTCTCGTTTGCAGTGCCTGAAAATCTCCGCCTCTATGTTATTTTCTTAAAGGAGAACAAATTGACATCATTCTTGGAAGTTTATGCAGAATTTTCTTCCAACAGAAGAAAAATGACGGCATCTTAAGGAATTGCCGTTGAGTAGTTTTCCGGTTTAAAAAATAACGTATGACAAGAAGTCTGCGACATCGCAAACCGAGTTATGAGATTGCCGACTTACACCGTCGATAGATAAATATCTTTCAGAAGCAGGTCACCCCGGAATATTTTCCACTCCCTATGTTTAAAATCCGATGAAAGTCGGAAAAGTGAAAGCGGGTGGAAGAAAGGCGCGACAGGGCGGAGGTCAGAGAGGGCAGCTACTTTCCACTCTTGTCCGATGAACTTGACACAGCGACAGCGCTGACGATTTCTTTGAACGTTGAGTTATCAGCGGTTCAATATCACTGCCGTGCCAAGAAAAAACACCGCATGAACATTCGAGAGTTGCCAAATTTCCTTCGATAAAATGTTTATTTTTTCGGCAAGTTATGAATATTTTGCCTTGGGATTCTCATGAACCTTAGGTGAAATTGCGAACAAAATCATATGAAAAATCGGAGGAAAAATATTCATATGTTTACCAGGAAATTCGTTTTTTATCGAAGAAAATTTGGCAACGCCTGATGGTTCGTATGGCGTTCTTCCTTAGCACGGTAGAATATCACCCCGTGCCCGTGAGTAGGTCAATAAACGCAGCGCCTCCTCCGCTGCGCTGCTCCTTGTTTACGGCAGTGTCACAAGTCGAATGTCCGCGAATTGCAGTAACGCATAATTGCCTCGTTCTCGTCGACAAGAATAGATCCATCCGCTCCATTTCATCAGCCTGTTTGTCACCGTGTCCGTCCTGATAAGAGCGCGCGACTGATAGCACGCGCGGCAGTCCAAAATGCGTAAGACGCCGCTTAAGCGCCGAGGACACATTGAGATGGAAATTCAAAACTCCGTGCGGATGCCGCTCTGCTAAATTGAATAATAGCGTAGCGATTAGGGATGCAGATTTTTAATCGATTCGACCGAATAATCGATTAAATCGAATCGATTTTTTAATTTAAACTCGTCGGCCAAATCGATTTTTTTCCTCGAATTTCGATGCAATTTTCAGATTTTTTCACTATGTATGTACGTTACATCTTACTTTTGCATTACCTATCTAACTAACTAACTAACTAACTAAAAATCTAAATTTTTGTATATACTCCCATTTTCAAAATTCTCTGTAAAGACGTTAATAGCCTATGACGCTGAATGTCAACTAACTAACTAACTAACTCAATCGTTAAATTCACAGGTGCTGAGAACAAAATCAATACTAATTAAAATGGATTCGACTATAATCGATTTTTACACCTACACTCGATTCGGCTTTGATCGATTCTCAGACCGAAAGCAATTTTTTCCGAGAAATCTGCATCCCTAATAGCCATGGTAAGAGTGCGGCAATCCATATAGAGTTTGCGCCAAGTAAGTTTACGCACTCTTAAAATGCGACAAAAGATCAGCTGTCTAGCATTGAAAGTTAATGAAAGAATCAAAATAGCTGATCGCACTTTCGAATTGAATACTTTTACCTACCAAGGGTGGACGACGACCGGGAGGGGGGGGGGGGGCTCCAGACTCATGAAATTCGGATTCCTTGGGGTTGATTCCTCAGTCATCTCCGCGGTCCTGGACTTAGTCCGACCTCAATGACCGAGAGAAAAACCTGATTCTATTTATTTTGGGCTACCCTGAATGAGCTTTGTTAGTGAATGTATTACTTGAAGGAAAAAGATGACGAATCTGGTAAGAAATTTGAGACCATACAAGCAGTCGGAAGCGCAGGCGGCAATTTGACGAATACAATGTGACAAAGTCCTCTCGCCTGTGGCAGGACTGTGAGATTCTCAGATATCCTTAAGCTTCAAAACAAATCGCATATAAATACAGCATAGATCGGATGAAGGTCACTTCACACCTCGTGGAATTGTGTCAAAGTTTTTTTCCACAATTAAAGTGCAGAATCTATTTCGAGGCTTATCACTGCCAGAACTGAGCGGAGTCTAGGTTATCGCTTCTGTGAATGCAACTGCATTGAGTTTCAAACAGAGCTCAACTTTGATGTTGCGGTGTGCTAAGGTGCAAGTTTTATCAGCTCAACGCTATTTTATTGATTTACTTATCGGGTGAATAGTGCCCTCATCAAATCAATCGAGATTATCTGGCGATTAATTGCTTCGGTTTAACGCTGCAGCAATTCCTTGATATCCTCTCCCAAAATCTTATTTGCCGCTGGGAATGTCATATTTTTGCAAAGTTATTGTAATTGACCTATTTTAAATAATACCTGGTTAGAGTCATCCGATTTCAGGCGTTTCCGCATTTCGTCGCTCCTCTGACGTAAGGGCGTATCTCAATTTCGACATGAGCCCTGGAAAGCATGGAGTTAAATGGACAACAGGGTCCACGTGGAAATAGAGATACGCCCTTACGCCAGAGGGGCGACGATTTGAGCCATATCAAGACCGTGATAAAATTAATTATCATAGAATATTCTTTTGCTTAAGAATTTGATTTTTGAAAGTTTTAATGCATGCATCATATTTTACATGGTATTCCGTAGGTATCGATAAAGAAGACATGAAGGGTTGGAGGACAAGGCGCATAAGTGCAGTTTTTGAAAAAAACTGAGATTTGAATGATTTCAAGTAAAACTAGTCTTAATGCATCTTCTGTGATGAATTTGCTCCAAAATTCCAATTTTTAAGCATTTAAAAGTCGGTTCGAACTTTCTTTCCGCCATAAGGATCCATGTAATTTCGAAACTTCAAACAAATATTTCTCGAAATAGCAAAAACTGCACTTATGCGCCTTGTCCTCCAAACCCCTCAAATACTGGTTTATGGTACGGATAAGTTCTCAAAGTAAATGGCTAATCTCAAAATTAGGGAAGACAAATTTGAAGGCATCTTCCATTAAAACAAATGGATTCAGTTGTATTCAAATGCAACAACAAATTTTAATTCATAACAATAGTCATACAGTCGATAAAGTTTGATCATGAATACTGACTAATAATACTTATAGGAACTATCAACAATCAAATACTAAAAAAGTTCAAGCTGCACGCCACTCTTTAAAAACCTCACTTCGTCTCGTCTTTTGATTCTTCTTTCTGCAGCGCTGGTTTCTCATTGGTTAAAATTAGGGCCTCCTTCGGTCGGAGACGAAGCCTATCAGGTGATACTTCAGTGCCCTCCGCATACATGCTATTGACGCTCGAAGCATAGACTGTGAGATTCGGTAGCGGCAAACTCAAGAGTTCGCTCAAATCAATGTAGTCGTAATAACTTCCAGTATTGACCACTGTCACATAGAGCACCTGACTAGCCCTATCAACTCGTTCTATCATCAGCGTCTGCCGTGAGAGAGTCTTGACATTCAGGGTACCAAATTGGATGACCGGTTTCTTCTTCAACTGGACAAGCTTCTTGTAAACTTTGAAGTGGCTCTTAGCGTCCTCCATCTGGATCTGGAGATTGGAGCGATAGAAATTAGGGTTAACGGGGAGCCAGGTGTAGGCGAGCGTGGAGAAGCCAGCGCTGAGGGTGTTGTCCCACAAAAAGGGGGCGCGACACCCGTCCCGCGATACCTCCAAGTAGTGCTCTTTGCCGACGCCCAGAGCGAAGGGGTCCACAGTCTCGTCCCAGCGGATAAAGGTGTCCTCCATAGCGATCTCATCGCCGAAGTAGGTGATGGCGGTACCCGGCAGGATGAACTGGATCATGTGCAAACCGTCCACCAGCTCCGGCCCGAAGCGGGTTGCGATCCTGGGTCTGTCGTGGTTGCCGAGCACCCAGTTGGGCCAGTGCCCTTCGGGCATGTTGGACATCCACATGTTGATGACTCGCAGGTAGTCCTGCGCCTGGGACTGCCGGTCGAGATCGGTGATCAGGAAGAAGTTGAACGGGAAGTGGGCGCCTTGATGAGTGGAGTTTCCGTAGAAACGCATGGTGTCCTTGATGGGGACGTAGGCCTCGGTCATCATGGCTCTCGTGGATGGTCTCCTGGTCGCCAATGACGTGCAGTTCTCCCTCTCCGTGTCGCAGGCCTGGATCATGTTGGTTTCCTTCTTCGAGTACTCGTCGAGGACCTGGCGGAACTGGTGGATGATGTCGTAGGTCTCCGGTTGGTCCTGGGTGTAGACGTGGTTGAGGTACTGGATGCTGTTCTCGCGGACGCCGGTGAGGTAGGAGCGCGGCTCGTCCAGGAAGCGAGCGTCTTCGACGAGGGTGTTGCAGGAATCGACGCGGAATCCGTCGACACCGGCGTCGAGCCAGAACCGCATGACTTCCTTCATTTCCTCTAGAACAGCCGGGTTTCGGTAGTTCAAGTCGGGTTGTTTCTCGTGGTACTGGTGGAGGTAGTACTTCTGACGGTTCTCGTTCCAGGTCCAGGCGGAGCCATCGAAGAAGGAGACCCAGTTGTTGGGCGGGAGCCTGGTGCCGTTCTCGTAGCGGGCGTCGCGCCAAACGTAGTAGTCGGCGAAGGGTTGGATGTTCTGGACGGACTTCTCGAACCACTCGTGCTCGTCCGAGGTGTGGTTGGGGATGAAGTCGAGAAGGAGTTTTAGACCGCGCGACTGGACGGCTTCGCGGAGACGGGCGAAGTCCTCGAAGGTCCCGTAGAACTGGTCGATCTTGCGGAAGTCGGAGATGTCGTAGCCGAAGTCGGCTTGGGGGGACTCGTAGATCGGGGAGAGCCAGACGCCGGTGATCCCCAGGGATTTGAGGTAGTCCATCTTCTCGGTGATCCCGTCCAGGTCGCCGATGCTGTCGCTGTTGCTGTCTTTGAAGGAGCGCGGGTAGATCTGGTAGATGACGCCGCTCTGCCACCAGTCTAGGTCTTGTACCCTCTTGCTTCCAGTCTCTGCCTCAATTGGTTGAGTGAGGGCTGTGCAAAATATGGCCCCTGTCAGGAACAGCAGGCCTAGTATTTTCCTCCTCTCCATGTTTTGTACCTGAAAGAATAGAAAACAAACGAGTATTATTATAATGTGGTGTAGTATACGACAGCAAGTGGGGTGTTTCACTAAAGCGCGCACACTGAAAAACAGATTGGTAGAATTTGCCATTCATTCACGCTGTATTTTATACACAGCGTGAATTCAAAGTCGATTCTGCCAGAAGAATGGTTACCTGTACCAGTATTTAGTAACGTTTACCTTTTTTCTAGCAGAATTGACTCTGACGCTGTGTGAAATACAGCGTGAAGGAATGGTAAATTCTACCAATCTTTTTTTTCAGTGCATGGTACATAGGTAACTTTAGACGAGAAAGAGATGAGACGGCAGCCCGAGCAATTTTTTAAATTGGCTCCACAGGTTTTTCTTTTTATTTAATTTTATTTTTAGATGAGCTTTGAGAAAAGCTGCTGCCGATGAGGAATACAATTTCAATAGATAACTCAAAATGCCTTAATAACAGCTTTTCTGTTTCTGCCAATTTCACTGCCTTCTTTTGGTCGTAAAATTCTGAACCGTCTAGTGGTAGGTAGTAGTGGTTGGAATTTTTTTACACCCTAATTACCGTAGAATAAGTATTTTATTTCTCATCCCTAATTTTTTGGAAATTATGCTCTAATATTATACATTGTAAAATTACAATATTTACAAGTTTACAATGATACAAGTTTCGATCTACATGAACTCAAATAACTACGTGTAGAATTTGGAGTAAAAAGAGAAGCCTTGCCGTCTCTGACTCCATTTCAATCAAATTTTTTATTCCATCCCTCTTTCCATATTTTATATACATAAAAAATTAAAGTTATCGCAAATTAAGAGGGAATATAGGTAAGGAATAAGGAATAAAAGGTGAAGAACCCTCCGCAAAATCCCCGAACAAGGATTTTACTACATAGGTTTTTGAAAAAAGAAACACAGAGCAAAGAAAAACGCAAGTTTAAGATTGATAAAGCTACCCTTAAGACAAATGTTCAAAATACTAGTGCTGAAGAGTTAAATACACTTTCATTCATCGCTAATTATGGTAAATGGTTGTCTACTGCGGCTCTGAGATTTTTAAAGGAAATGGTAGATAAGATTTGGGCTGAAAAAATCCATATCATTTGTCTGGGATACAGCTAGTGACGATGTGAGAAAACTAAACTGATTTTCGTTATTTTATTTTATTTCATCCCACTCATATCTTATCAATTTGACACCAACGTGTTACGTGTATAAGTTATCTTATACCCAAATTAATGGAGGGAATTGTCTTAAATACCGATTAATTATTGGTGTCACTAAGGTCAATAATTTCAGTGCCTATTCAACTCTGATTATATATTAAGTTAGGTGCAGAAGTCGAATGCCACACCTGTCTCTTATTCGTTCCCCGTGAGGAGAAGACAGGAAAAAGAGAAAGGTAGTCAATTAGTAGTATTGATAATTCCTCAGAAAGCCGGAGAAAGCAGGCATTAGATAAACTAAACTGGATTGGAGAGGAAAAAATTCGTAATACAGTAAAAGGAAATTACTTAAACTCTACATTTCATCGCACCATAATTTTGAATGATAAAAGCATCCAGAGAAAACTAGTCGAAATTGTGTTATTTCGAAAGTGATCGTTATTTTCCAGTCAGTAGAGATTAACTCATGCCGCAAGAACTGTTTGAACCGGTTCAAACCAAAACTTGTACTTTTTGGCGCGTATACGTAGTATACCGCCTTTGCGATCGTTTCGACCCCCCACTCGATACAATAACCGAGTCCCTTAGTTCCTTACCGAAAAGTGACTACCGCGAACTTCTGAGATTTTCCAAAGCGTGTAAAAAGTTTATTTATCCGTCAATAATTATGATTTAAAGTTGTTTCTCATTCTGGGGGTCTCTAGTTTATGTGTAATGAATACCAAGAGTCTGCGTTACTTGGTTTTTTTTGAAAAAACCTTAGAATGGGGCGCGCTGATTTAAAATATGCATATATAAGCAGAAGCAAGCGAACTGATTCGAGGATGGCTGATCAGGTCGGCACTCGTTGAATGAGAATTTCACTTCTTCGTTTTGTTTAAAACGTTGCTTTGACAGATCTCCACAAACCTGTTATAATTTTCAAAATTTGGTACCCCTTGCTCTGATAGCCGGGGCCAGCAGGATAGTGGTAAGTGCAATCTGTGATGAGCCTCGAGACTCATTAGACCATTTGCTAACCGTGGCCCATACAGAAATTCACTCCCCTATCAGGCCAAAACAGTGCACAGGCAGGCACCAAACCCAGGTAGTGTCCCGATCGTGGCTCGGTTCGCCGCGTCGCTTCCCAGCTGAAGAACAAAAGGCTACCCTCGCGGTCCTCGCCACAGTCAGACCTAATTACTTTCACTCGATTACCCATTTCACCGTCACGCTGGGATCCATCAAATTTTCGAAAAAATTGTTCCGCGAGTACTTAGCAATTTTTTCCTTACTCTCCGTTCAAAGACAAATTGAAAGAGGTCTCATTCATAAAAATCGGCCGAATAGAAGAGAAGTTACAGTATTCGAAATCCGAAGAAATCAACGAAACTTCTCCAAACAAAAACTAAAATGAAGGGGAAAAAAGAAATGTATAAATTACAATTAAATATAATTGACCTCAGAATTTGGCAAGCAATTCAACTATATAACGAAGAAAAAATTGGGAGAAATTACAAAAAATTCGCCTCTTGCAAGGGGCTTCCTTGTAAGAATTTTGATCTGAAGGCAAGGATTGAATACCAGCGCAATACACCATACAATACATGGTGTGCCTGAACGAAAATTTTTTTTTTGTGTCAAAATCGAAAATTCTTTATATTTTTTAACTACAGTGTCTCTTGAGTCGTTTAAGCCAAAAAAAAAATTCCGTCAAGATTCTGGAAAGTAAAGGCGCTTTAAAAGTATTCTGGGGCTATGTATCCTAACTGTGTCCACACCTGGTTTCTGTTTAGCATATCCATGTGTAAGTATTTTTACACGTAGAATCTAATTTTCACGTCAGGGAGTCAACACATCTCGATTTTTTCGATTTTATACGGAAAATTGATGGTTTTTCGGGATTGAAATTATTATTGTTTCATGAAAAATAAATGTACCCAAAATGACTATAGCATATTGATTTTTATATATTTGCACCCCCCACGAAATTGGTTGGTAAATTCAACGAGTGAGTGCATCGACCTGGTATATCAAGTTTCTGCAATTTTTACGGCAAATCGGTAGATTTTCAGGATGTAGATTGCTTACTTTCAATTCATGAATGAATAAAGCATGGACATGGTTGAACTTCTTTGCATAGAAATACGTTTAAAATAACAAAATCAAGACATATTTAATGCAATTACATTTATATCGAGTCAATTTCTTTTCAATAATACAATCGGGATTTATAATAGGTATACCGGTGATTTGGATATTTTAGCCCCAAAAATACCTTTAAATCGACTGTATCTTTCAGGAGTTCGACAGAACTTTTCCTTTCTTCGCTTAAATTATTCCGTAGCACTTTTCTTCAAGAATCTGATAAGATATTGCTGGGGGCAGATCAAAAAACATAAACTCGTTCGAATGGCTTTCTACATTCACAATACACGGTCTCGTCAAAGTGCGTCGTCGAAGAGTTGGATCGTATGAATTCTCTTGTTGTGCTACTTGCCTATTTTGAAATCTCTGTAAATGAAAACTAAAGGGGTTGATATGTGTGAGTTAATGACGCGCCTTATCAACACATTGTGTTGGAGTTCACTGCTTGTTTTTATTTTTGTTTGTTTGTTTGTTTGTGAGTCACTCGTTGATGCGATCATTTTTACTTGGAGGAGGTATTAATGCAAAAACGCATATCTCCTTTCCGATGCTGCAGACTTCCTTTTACAATAAATCTTTTAGATTAGAAAAATAAATAAATAAATAACCCATCGTCATTTCTTGGAAATTCCCCTCATTTTTCTACCCAATCCGAAGAATATTCTGTGAAAATACATATATCAATCGGTAGTGCTAGTTCGTTCTCCTTTAACAATATAAAACGGGAGGAAGGATTTTGAAACACCGCGAACGAGGCACGAATTTTTGCAGTTTTACGATCGAGCTGTTATCGAATGCTTTTAAGGGAAACCAGGTACGGTCTAGAGCATGACAAAGCAATCACAAATGAATGTCAATACTTTGTCCTTTTTGCTGCAATGCATTCGTGTGCGGGGGATAGATTTTGGGGAGACGGAGAGTCATTTTTCCGTCGGATTCATCGATCACCAGTGAAAATTGTTGGGAGGTCGAACGAATCAAGGGGGGCCATTTTAGTGCATGTAGAAAAACATTAATTTCTTTAGTCTATGGCGCATATAAATACGACATGACATGGAGCTGTATAAAACCGTTGCATCGCGGGGGAGGCATTTTGACGTATTTTATCTATAATGCCAAAGCAAAAATTGCCTTCAAAAGTTTCGAGTATGCAAACCAATCAACTCTCGTGTATAGGTTGTCATTTCTGGCATTGAAGGGGTATCAGCAGGTCATTTTTTCAAATGCTGTCCAAATCGATAGAAGATGATGAGATTGAACTTGAATTAAGTTATACGTTTGCACACCTGTGCAAACATTATGCTGAGAAAATACATCAGACTCCTATACGGAATATTTCTATCCTAAAATTTCTCTGGAGAATATATTGTTGGCATTTTCCAATAGTTGTAAGAGCACTCTGGAAAAATTATATGCACGTAATCTTCTGAAAATATTCTGCAATTAATACTATTTGTGGAAATTGGCCTGGCAATACTCCAAAAAATGTAAAAATTCCCACTTATTAAATCAAATTCCAGGAGTTTGAAGATCACATTTTGAAGCTAAGATCGAGCTTTCGCGTGCTTTAAAAGTCATTCAATTCGATCCTTAAAAACATGTAGACACCCATGCAGTTTTTTTACGAAGGATTGTAATTTTTAAAATTCTATACTCAGGTCATTTACGCATCGTAATAACTGACTTATTTACTAATCGTAC